TGGGAGTCAGGGGTTCCAACAAAGTTAGGAAGGACTATTCATCGAAACGCGTTGAAGGAATTCGATTTGGGAAAAATTCGTACCAAACTTGTTAAGAAAAATGAAAGAAGAAAAAAAAAAGGGACTGTTTATGCCGTTGTTTTCTTCTGCCAATGAGGGGTCGTTTTACGTAAACGTAGTTAATTACGTCGCGCCGTCGATGAAAAAAAAAAAAAAACAAACAAACAAATATATATATATATACATATTTATATAATGCAAATTAGCATGCAAGATGGGGCGCTAAAGATTTTTGTGCGGGTTGAAGGAGAAGAAAACATGGTGGAAGGGAGCATCACATGTAACGGAGAAAAAAGCGAGACAGGGTTATGGCGCAGCAGAGGATGCAAAGGGTGGTGGAAATGACGTGGAAAAAAGCACGAAACCAAGTGCAAAAAATATCTGCGCAATGAAGTAGGAAGAAAATTTTTTTTTCTTCCTGAAATGGCCAATTTGTTGTAAAAAAAAAAAAATTACGTTAATGCAGGATTGCAATTTTTTCTTACCCTCTCACAATTTAAAGGAGTTGAAAAGAAATTTTCCAGCGTAGATAGGCAAAATAAGGCTTACGTCACGTGAATAATTCCATTGGCGTACCAAACGTATCGTTGTAAACCCACGTATTGATGCGTGAACAGACGGCTCCCGTAAACCTACATCTCCTTTCGACAAAACGTGCACCCTATTTGTACACGTTCAACAATCGGATTTGTTGTAAGTTCTCCCCTTTTAGCTGCACGAACATGTTCTGGAATTTTTTTTTAAGACTGTTGTATGACCCTGCGAGGGCGTCACGCATGAATTCGTCTAACGACTGCAGGTTGGAAAGGTATAGGGGGGAACAAATGAGGTAGCGTAAAAAAAAAAAAAAAAAAAAAGAGGGGAAGTCTCGAAAGTGGCAAGGACGGGGGACACATATATGCTCGTACCTCCGCGCGCATGTCTCGCCCCCTTGTTCCGCATCGCTCCATGCCTAACCTGCAGCCCCTTCCGATACTTGCAAAAAAAAAACGTCGCATAGATCACGTCTTTGTCGTCGCACGAGTTGGCTCGTATTACAGATTTTATCCTTTCCCCATGGAGACTAAATGAGGGGGGGGAAAAAATGAAAAAAAATATGTGGTCAGCGCGAACAAAGCATTGCCAAGAAAAAACGTTAACAATATATAGGCACAGGCCGGATAAGACAAATTGGCCGGGGGATGGAGCCCTTCCGTGAGTTCTCCCTTTTCCGATATCACCCCCTCCTCACCTGGCCGTTACGAAATACAAGTGAATGTCAGAGGTGTCCATATACGTGGGAACAAAATCTGCGGGCTTATCGAACAAAATGTCCTTTTTAGTTAAATAGAAGGCGTCCCACAAATAATCTACGGAGTAACTTTCCCCGTTGAGCGTAATAGCGAATCGCAGACCCTTCCGCATGATGAAAATGTGAGCAGGGTAAAAGATGAATAAACCCAGTAGCTTCTTAATCCTCGGTTCCATGATAGAAAAGAAAATATTATAAATATCGGAGGGTGCAAGATACACTTCTATCGATTCGCTCACGTTGGACAAATGCTTTAGCACCTGTTTTGCGGTGTTGTCATTGATGGTAACTGGCCCTTTTACACTATAAGAAGTAACGAAGGTTTTTTTCCCATTAATGTAGACATTTTTGGAAACTTTAGCTTTGACAAAATAACCTATCATGTAAGACTTGATCAAAAAATGGCTACCACAATGGATTGAGTGCTCTCTAAAGTTGGTGTGGGATCCCACTTTTTTCGAGAGAAACCATTCAATAAGGGTAAAATCATCGTAAGACAGATTTTCCTTTTTTTTAACATCCCTCTGTTGCATGGAATTTAATTCTTTGACTTTTATAACATCCCCGTCTTGCATATCTCCCAGGATGATTATCGGATTATGTACTTGTCCCAAATGTAATGTTTCCTTTTCCAACTGGTTCAGTTTCTTCTGGTCCAAGATGAGATCTTCTTCAAAAAGTTCCCTATTTCTGTACAGATTATTATTAATATCGTCAAGCAGCGATTGAATGTTAGTTTTGTTTTCTTTACTCAGGATATTATTATCGTAGACATATTTCTCCTCAATTTCTTCCGTGTTGATTTTGTTATATTTTAATGTCCCATATTCTACTACGTCCAATCCGTATAACATTTTTATGTTATGGATGAAGGCAGCCTTTTCTTCATTATTTTTCACCACGAAGCTGCATAAAGTCAATTTATTCTCTTCTGTATAGTCGTCATTTACTTTTAAAAAAATGTCTATGGTGTCAATAGAGCTTTCAATAGCTTGAATGTCTTTAATTAATATTTCCTTAACAATGGTGTTTCTGCGTTCCCCCACAATTACTATCTTACACTGAGGTTCATTTCTTAGTTCCAATATGAGGGGAAAAAAAGTATTGTTAATTTTGTAATTTACTGAAAAGGTACAATTTCGTAGTAAACATTTGCTTGGTTTGTATCTCTTTGCTCTATTTTTTGTCTTCCAAAATTCCAGATCGCTCTTGTTATTTTCGCGATATTTGCGGGCCTTTCCATTGGTCGTACAGCCTGATGCGTGTTTCTTCCTCACATTGTCACTGCCAGCATGCTTGGCCTTTTCATTATCCCCATTTTCTTCACTACGCTGGCGAGGGGCGTACGAAGAGGCGCTTTCGGAATAGACTGCGTTTCCCATTGGGGCAGACTCAGCCGAGGAGTTTTTCTTGGGGCATTATGTAGAGGGCGATGGACATCAAAAAACGCATTTTCCCTAACAAAGAATGGCGCAACAAAAGGTACGCGTGTGCAAACGTATTCGCCAGATGTTTGCGTAGCGTGGTTGGACCCATGCCGCATCAAAATGATGGACAAGAAGGGGGAGTGACGTTTCGCAGGGGGGGAATTACACCAAATGTTGTGTAGTGGTTTCAAATGTGCGCATATTTTTTTTTTTTTTTTTGCTTCTCTTAATTGCGCTATTACTCCATTTTGCCGAGCAGGAGGCGCAGATTCAATGCGGACGCACCCGGACAAATTAAAACAACTGTGTCATGTCTGTGAAAAAAATTAAAAGACCCATTTTGACATAATCAAGCAGAGGTTTATTCCAACTTTGAAATGCTTTTTAACGGTTTACATGCGAAATGGGAAAAGAAAAAAGAAAAATTCGGTTTTACAACAGTTAAAAGGTGTATTAAGAGGTCAGACAATTTTGACGCACGTGAAATTTAATTGCGTAAAAAAATGGGTGGAAAAAAAAAAAAAAAATGACACGGCTGCCTCAATGGCTGTTTGGCAAAATCGTGAAAAGTGTACAATTCATATTCGTCCCCCTCAAGCAGTTTCAAAAATGGCAACTCAAATTCGCAATATTCTGAGAATATACACGGGTCAAAGTGGTGTACATATGTACGTACGTATGTATACATGCACATATACATACTCCCCCAACTGGGGGCTGCAGCATCCCATTTGGAAACATTTCGCGCGTCTACAGGACTTTCCACAGTGATGTGCGCGGAAATGCATTCGATAGAGCCACGCGTAGGACCAACTATTTTTTTGACGCCTTTTTGGAACCACGCAGGGGGGTTACAAAACAGGGAGAAGCAGAAACAAAACGTCATCACGTACGGGTGTGCCGCTCTTCACGCCTTTTCAACAGAAGTGATTCATTTAAAAAAAAAAAACTGCATGGCCATGCTACAAATGGGGTAAGTAGTCACACATCGGGATATATTTCGAAAGATCACCTCGATAGTACACTACGCCGCGAAGCCATTTAGATGTGCGAAAAACCGTTAGAGACTATTTCACCCTTTCGCAACTGTGCGTCCCAACATTAAAGAAATAAGCAAAGGGAACAATAGGGAATAAACGGGAGCAAACGGGAAGGAAAGAAAGGATAAAAGAAGCAGAGGCTTAAGCGCAACGGTTTTCCGAGCGACCAGGCGAAAGTATGTGCTACATTTTTGCACGTCTCTGAATCGAAATGCCACAAAACCACATGAATAAATTTCCATTCGGCATTAGCCGTTTGCGTGTATCACCTCCTTCATTTTTATTGAAAAAGTGAAAGGTTCACACATTTCTTTTTGGGCAACTTTCTGCGCCTGCTCTGCGGTTTTACACTCATCGGAAAAAGAATGTGCAAAAGGGAAATAATAGCAGATGGATTCGTTTTTTTTTTTTTTTTTTTTTTTTTTTGACCATTCGATTAGCAATTTCGTTACAATTCCTTTAGCTTTATAATTCCCCGCTTTGCAAAATGAAAAGAAAGGGGAAAGAAACTTCCATGTAAATGAATGCATAGAAAGAGACATACATTATGAGGTGGGACTTCAGGAAGTTTCACTTTTGATTCATCTCCTACTGCGTAACGAAAATGAAAAAATTAAGATAAGGGTAACACATAGCACAATGCTGCGGGGGACACACCTTTGCATGTCCCTCCTCCTCCCCCCTCTTCAATCCCCTTCTTAATTGAGAAATGCTCCACTAATCCTTCTTAGCGTATAACTATTTCTCCCTAAACTCCCAGTCTTCTCGAATCATACGTACGTTCTCCTGTCGCCACTATGAAGTGAGAAGGAAGGGCCTCCGTATTTGAATGGACCACGTAAAAAAAAAAAAAAAAAGCAAAGAGGCACTCAGAAAAAATTAGCAGTCATAACTTTTTTTTCGCCCCCCCTCCGTATTTTATAAGACTTTTTTTCCCCCCTTTTTAATTATTCCCTCGTTGTGGTAGTATCTCCACTTTTTTTCACTTTTTTTTTTTTGTACGAATTTGTCAAGTTGGTGATTTTTTTTTGACAGTCTCCTTATGTGTCTAACTTTTTTTTTTAAATATTCCCATTTTCATATTCCCCAATTTGTCGCCAAGACGATTAATTTTTTTTTTTTTTTCAAAAATTGACTCAAGATTTATCTCTTTTGTGATCCCCATTTTAATGGCCCGTCCAAATGAATAAAATAAAAGTTCAAAAAACAATTGACAATTTTTTTCCTGTTAAAAGAAAAAGAAGCATAATTCCGAGTAATGGGGGTGAGACGAATAATTCGTACGATTCCGTTACGAGTACTTGTGTTGAGGAGTTGGAGGGGGCAGATAATGATGGCAAAAGAAGGAAGATAGACGACGCTATGGGGGTTGGAGCAGCTCTCAATGAGGGCTCCGCAGTTAAGGGGGGGGTAAACAGGGAAGATGTGGCTTCCTTAAAGGAGACAGCAAACGTGGGGGAGAGGGTAGCCAGTAATAAGGCGACAGACGCGGCAGACGCTGCTACCTTGAAGGAGACAGCAAACGTGGAGCAGGTAGTAGCCGGTAATAAGGCGACAAGCACGGCGGATGTAGTCACCTTGAAGGAAACAACCGCTGCGGAGCCAGCCACCTACCCATACGCCGAAGAAATAAAAAACCTAATGCACGCAGAATGGTACGAGCACTTAAAAGACGAGTTACGAAAAAGTTATTTTCAAAAAATGTATGTGAAGATAAAGGAGGAGAGAAAAACGAAAGTGATATACCCCCCATCTCGGCTAGTGTTTAATGCCTTCTTAAAAACACCCCTATCAAATATAAAAGTAGTGATTGTAGGTCAGGATCCCTACCATCAGAAGGGCCAAGCCATGGGTTTGTGCTTCTCTGTACCCGTTGGTATTAAAATCCCACCAAGTCTGAAAAACGTTTTAAAAGAAATAAAACAGACTAGTAATCATGGAGACTTAATTAGTTGGGCAGAGCAAGGGGTGTTCCTACTAAACACTTCTCTAACGGTCGAGGAGAACAAACCCGCTTCACACAAAAATTACGGATGGGAAACCTTCACCGATAAAGTCATAAACATCATAAATGAGAAAAAGGAGAAGATTATCTTCATGCTATGGGGCAACTTTGCCATAAAAAAATGCTCCAAAATCGACACGAAGAAGCATTTTATTTTAAAGGCGGGACACCCATCCCCCTTGAGTGTGAGGCACTTTGCCAACTGCGACCATTTTAACAAGTGCAATGAGATTCTCACGCGCAACGGCATGGCGCCGATCAAGTGGGAGTTGCCGCAGTGAGGGAAAAAATAAGAGAGAAAAGAATAAAATAAAGAGAAAAAAAGAAAAGAAAGAAAAGGAAAAGAAAATAAAGGAAAATAAAAGAAAAGAAAAAAGAAAAGATAATAAAAAAGTGCTGCCTCCCCTGCACAGGAGACTCCAGCTCACGTGGAGCATTTTTCCACAAATCTGTTAGCTTCCACCCGTTTTTGTGTTGACCACGGAGATGCTTCCATTTCGCGACCCATTTGTCATAACAGTGAGTTTTTTTTTTTGCATTTTAACTTGCTTTACGCCGTTAAGAAGCCTTCTGAAAACACTCCATCGCACGCGTCTGATAAGCTGAAACCAAGTGCACACCGGCGTTCCATTCCGTAGAAGCGTTTTTCCGCTTACAAACGACTACTTCCAGCGATTATACGAAATAAGCCCTTTTCTGGGAACATTTGCTACGGTGAAGTCATGTGCATCTCGGGAGTGATTCACTCCCCCTTCAGTGAGGAGTGAACTAGGGTGTGTGTGTGTGGGTGGGTAGTTGTGCGTGATTGTAAGTAGCTGTGGGGGGTCTTACCCCTGCGTGTACGATGCACCCCCTGCATGGTTTGCTCAGATGTAGAAGGGAATTCAACAGAACAAGTCGACAACACTACCGGTCCATAAAGCTGCGCGGAAAGAATGACAAACAACTGGTTAGCACAATGCGTAGGGCGGAGGAAGTGGAGTGTTTTTCTCTACTAAATAAGCCCCTTTTTCCTGGCCTCTCCTACGTGCTAAACGCGGATAGAAACCTTGTGAGGGTTTTCGAAAAATGCAAAAAAAAAAGTGCGCACATAGGACTCTTTCTTTTAAAAAATACGGAAAATGAGCAAGTAGGAGGTCTGTTTAATGACGCACAGTTTGTGACGAATGCTCCCATCGGAGGAAAACCCTTTTTGAAGAAAGACATCTCCTTCATTAACGATGTAGAGGATGTGTACCAATGCGGATCGGTAGGGCTTATCCGAGAGCTTCTCTACGACGATGATCAGGCCAGAAGCGACACAGAAGGGAGAAGCAACCGTGCGGAGAACATCCCCCACAGGTGTAGCTCCCTGGACAGAAGCGAAAAAGTATCCTGTAAGGATGACTCCCATGATGGGAAGGGGCAAAACGAAAGGACGGGCCCTCTATTGGACCAGTCGAAAGACATCCACCGAGTCGTCATTGAAATTGCGCAAAAGGTGAAAATTGTAAAGTGGGTCAAGGGAAACACAGCCCAGGTGGACGTAATTAAGCAGCACATGTCCAGCGAACGAAATGGAAAACAAATAAAAGCTTACCAAATGCAGATCATAGACAAAATAAAAGAAATTGTCCACCTAAATAGTGCATGCAGTGTTGAATATAATTTATTGTTAAAATATTATGACGTGAAAAATGTATACAGTCTGGTCAACTTGGTAGGCAGTATAAGCATGGGAAAGAGTAGTTCCCTTCAGGGTTTGCTGGAAGAAGGGGCTGTAGAGGACCAGCTAGCCATGTGCTTGGACCTACTAAATGAAGATATTCTTTTGTTAAAAATGAAGAGAGAGTTATCGACAAATCTGAAGAACAAATTTGATGAAGAGAAAGAGAAGCTAATGATAAGGGAATGCATCTCCAACCTGAAAAAAAAAATAGGAGAAAAAACGGACCACGAAATCCTATGCGATAAATTTTTTGCGAAATTTCAATCTAAGAGGAGTCATATGGATGAGGAAGCTTCTGCTACTATCCTACGTGAAGTTAACAAATTCGCCCTGTACAACGAACACTGCAATGATTATGCGTCCACGTATCAATACATCAACACCGTGCTGAGTATTCCCTTTGGGAAATATGCCCCTCTCTGTGAAGATATAAGTGCATGCGAAAGGACGTTAACACAAAGTCACTACGGATTAGACCAAGTGAAGAAATACATTCTAGAATATGTAGGGCTGTACATACTAAACAAAAATGTGAAGCCGAAAATACTTACCCTTGTTGGTTATCCAGGCATCGGAAAAACGTCCATCTGTAAATCCATCAGCTCGGCGTTACAACTCCCCCATTATGTAATTAACATGAATAATATCACCAACATGCATGAACTGATTGGGCATAGGAGAACCTACGTGAATAGCTACGAAGGTAAAATTATAGAAGCTCTCATCTCAACCGATGTAATGAACCCCTTAATCGTCTTGGACGAATTGGACAAAATTTCCCTGACGAATGGCAACATATATACTACTCTGCTGAACCTTTTCGATAGCTCACAGAATAAGGGGTATAAAGACGTGTACGTGAATTTCCCCATCAATCTGCAGAGAGCCTTTTTTATTTGCACCGCCAACTCGGTTGACCACATCCCAGAGACTTTGCTCGACCGAATGGAAATCGTAAATGTGTATCCCTACACCAATGAGGAAAAGATTGTTATTTTTAAAAAGTACTTGGAAAAAAAAATGCAGGAAGAGACTAAAGTTACGGACTTACATCTCCACATGTCAGAGGAACTCCTCCTTTATGTTATCCAAAATTATACCAACGAGAATGGCATACGGCAGTTTTACTCTATTGTTTATAGCGTCTACAAGAGAAGAGCCTTCATGCTGCTAAAGGGGGTTACGGGGAGAGTCCAGTTGGGGCTTCACAATTTGCACCTTTTCCACGATTTTGTGAACTTGGACTGTCTCCGGCAGCGAGGAGGCATTCAAGCCGTTCAAGCCATTGAAGCGGTTCCCTCCACCCATGAGGGCATGATCAAATCGCTCGCCTTCACCGAGGATGGCGGGCAAGTAGTCACCATAGAGGTGATTGGCCTCGCGTGTGCAAACTCCCATGCGGGAGGATCTTCCAACCTGCACTGCACTGAGACCTTTCCAAAGAGTACCACTAAGGGAGAGGAACTCCTCTTGCGTCCCAACCGCCGTAGGAACCAATTCTCGATGGTGGACGAGACGATGCACCCACCAGCGCTGTTGCGCTCGTCCCAATTGGGGAAAACGGTTACAGAAGATACGTGTCGCCACGGAATAGCCGCAGGCTCCACTTGGTCAGATATGATGGATCCAACCCTCATTGATGATGACAACCCCTCTTTTGCGATAAAGGAGGCAGCGGAAGGTATCCATAGGACCAAACCGTTGGAGATAAGTTGCTCGTTGGAGAGAAGCCCTCCGTCAGAGCCCTACCCAAATTACCAAATCGTTATAACCGGCAGCGTGGGGAAGATCATGCAAGAAAGCATCCTCATAGCGAATACTTTTGCCAATCATCTGCTAAAAAAGGTAGTCCCCAATTTTCAGGGTCAATACTTACACATCAATTTGAGCGAGTGTGATGTGAAGAAAGATGGGCCCAGTGCAGGGGTCAATTTCGTTACCTCCATTTTGTCCTACTACCTAAGAACAGCGGTGAATAGTTCCGTATGTATGACAGGGGAGATAACCCTTAACGGCCATGTGGTGAAGATTGGGGGGCTAGTGGAAAAAATGATCGTTGCGAGAAATTTCGGAATACGCACCTTGATCATTCCCAGGGACAATGCGCAGGAGTACCAGCTGCTGCCAAGTGCTCTGAAGGGAAACATTCGGGTGCTATATGTCTACCACTACTACCAAATATTTAATTTCCTTTTTCCTAAGTTTGGCCCCTTATCACCTTAGACATTCGCCCAGAGCGAAGCGTGTGTTGTTGGCAGAGCCATGGTGGAGGCAGTGGCGGACGCGGTGGCGACCCTCCCCGATGTGGCATCGCTGAGGGGTATCTCCTGGAACGTCGAGCCTGTCTCGGTCCACCTTGCACTCTGCATAGCGGCAGATAAGTGTATATGCAAATATGACGCTTTTTGCAACGACGCCCATTTCGCATGTGCGTAGGCAGTTTGTGAAGATGGGCCCACAAAGGTAAAAATACATCCCTGTGTTTTCGCGCACGGCTACTTCAGGACGGGTTTAACGATTGGTGACCAGGCGCAGAAGTCTTTTCGCACACTGGGGAATACATTTGTGCATATGTATACTTACAGGATGGATTGACTCTCCCCTGCGCGGCGCCCAAACGAGAAAGTTTTCTTCCGTTTCAATTTGTGGAAGAATTTCGTCACACCAGTTTTCAAAAATAAATAGTAGCTTCGCCAAAATATGTTACATAGCCTCCTGACAATTTCCTCTTTTTTGGGGTGTTCCCAATGGAGGTTACCTTACCTGCTTCGTCATACAGTGTTATGAATTATTTTATTTTATTATTTTGTTACTTTTTTTTCCCCCCCCAGTGGGCTATAGCAGGTAAGCATAAGGGGTATTATATTTACCTCCCCGCCTGCCATGGGTATACCGCGGGGGAAACTTTTTATAAAGCGTGCGTTTCGTCGCATTATGTTTCTCATTTTTGTAATTAAAACGAGGATGCCATCACCAATTTTTTTTCGTGCTAAACCTTTTTTGGTCCCATTTTGTTGTCGTAATTTTTCACGTTCTGCCCGACTGAGCGGATTGGGCATGCCATGGTGTGCTCCTCATGTGTGAAAATCGTTCCATGTGCTTATACTTTTACCCCCTCTCCTATGCGGCTTCAATAAGGTGCGCTGGAAGAACAATTTTGAAGCAATACTGGAGCCACTAGCTGGGAAAAATAATCCCATTAGCGCAATGCATCCACAAAGGTTAGCTGCACAGATTGGAAATTGAAAAAAAAAAAAAAAAATCACATTTTTGAGGATACAACAAAATTTATACCAAACGAGGAAAAAAACAACAAAGTGGAAGCAGAAATATGTACTTCCCTTTTTTATTTTTTTTTTTTACATTTTAAGTACTCCCTTGATATGATAACAACAAAAGAAAGATATAGAGAGTGAGCACAGAAAAGAGAAAGAAACCACGAGAGGGCTAGGCTAGAAGCGTAGGCCGCATAAGAAGAGAAAAAAAAGGACGACTTAAAGAAGAACAAGATGGGGAAGAATTCCAGGCTAGAAAATTGGCTACAGTACAGAGTGAGAGTCACTGTAAGTGACTCGAGGTATTTCGTCGGCACCTTCCTCTCCTATGATAGGCACATGAACATAGTATTAGTCGATGCAGAAGAATTCAGAAGGGTGAAAAGTCAGGAAAATTCATCCAAGGTATGTTTTGCTAACGTTTACATGTTTATTTCGCCAAAAAAGGGGAAGGAAAAAAAAAAAAAAAAAAGAAGAGAGAATAGGAAAAGGGCACATAAAGACCAACCTGGTTTAGCTCCCCCCCTTGCGTCGATAGCTGCGTTGTACGTATGCTTATGTCTGCCATTATGGGGAGTCACCTCGTGTAGACTACCACTATGCATGCTAAATTGTGAACGAAACAACTATTATGTTCCCCTCCCCCCTAATTTGATACATATCTATTACACCCCGCATCTTTTTGCGACAGCCTCCGCGCAGGCACTGCGGTGTGAGCAAATTTTCTGTCCCACTTCGTATACACTTTTTGTACACCCTCCCGCAGGAAATCAAACGAGTGATCGGCTTGATCCTCATTCGGGGGGAAAACATCGTCTCGTTTACAGCCGAGCGAGCACCTGTGAATAAAAAGTCCATGACGAACGTGCACAACAAAGGAATGGCCACAGGCAGAGGAATCCCGATGAATAATTACGTGCCCCTTCAAAACAATTTCAACCCAAATATGGCCAACCCGATGAGTAATATGCCAACGGGGATGGCCCTCAACTCTGGAACGTCCAAAAATTTAGTGCCAGGAGTCAACCCCAATTTTAGGGGCCCCAATATGCCCATGGGAAGTCAACGACCAATGATGCCCATGAACATACCTATGAATCAGCCTCTGGGAAATGCCGCAAATAGCCAACAGAGATTGATGTCACAAATTCCAAGCCAGTTGCCGTTCCCCCCCAATGTGAACCCCCCATCAGAGCAGTGATCCTGGAAGTGTTTGGAGAGATGATGTGATGCATAGAATTTGTTTTTAAGCTGTGCTGATTTGACAAGATTACCTGTGAGCATGCTTATATGTAAAGGTGTGCCTATGTGGTACTTGTTTGTGTACGCGCAGGTGACGGGAAGGAGCCACGCAAATGCGCAAGGGATTAACGTGCAGTTACAAGCAGAAGCCAAGGTGGTGGCAGGTACTGTGTAGGAGCGGAGGACACAGCATTATCATTCCGCTCAATCACAGGTGTGTAAAATTAACAATTCCTAGAGGCCCCTAAATGTACATTTGGGGAAAAATTGCGATAATTAATTATTTTCCACCATCACCAACCCCTCCCCTTTGTTATTTGCTACAATGTGAAAAGTGTATTTTTCTTGTGACATTCTTACAAAAAACCTTTTAAAATTTTCAGATTGTGTGTTCGTGAGGGGACACAGTTTCGCGGCAGCGTGTTCTCATGTTTATGGGATATATTCATATATACTTTTTTTTTTTTTTTTTTTATTTGTTCTGCGTCTTTATGGCATGCTTCGGCATGTCGCCGTACCGCCACTTCACACCATACTTTGCTTCCTTTGTTCAGTGCAGCATCGTCGAAGTGGTACTCCCTGTAACATCTCAGCGAAATTGCGCTTTTATTCCTTGCAACATTATTCTATTGCAGTCAATTTGCTGAGCCACAATTTTTTCTTTTTTTTTATAACTATTAACCCTGTTCAAAACATTTTTGATTGCCTTTATAAAATTATTTACAAATTGTGAAAGAAAAATGTTAACGAATGGATTTATCCCCCCCCGGATGGTGACAATTCGGGAGAAACAGTGAAAAGCAAGCTTTAATCGCACCACCACAACGAGCCATACATACATATGTTTGGAAGTCTCCCTTTTTGCCCTGTTAATGATTTACACAAACTATACAATTTTAACATGCGTACTAGGGCATACATCTCGGACGTTGTTCCGATGGGTTATTTTCGCGGTTATTATATTTATGCTATTTATGTGCTTGTAATAGAGTTGAGGGGGGAGTTCTCCTCCAATTGGATTTTTTTTTTTTTCCCCTCCATGAGGAGTAAAAGCAATATACTTCTCGTTGTGTCACCCCCCTCTGCGGCGTTTGTATCCCCCTTCCCACTCATTGGTACCACCGGACACTATCACAAGACATGGTCATCGTCTTTGTAGGCATCATTTTGTAAATTCCAAGGGAGGCGACGAATGTGAACCGGAGTGGAGGCCTATTATTCCTCCCAACAAACATTGCCATAGCTTCTCGCAGCCATCAAAGCGTTGGCCCAATCAGAGTACGACGCTTTTATTTTATGTTGATACAGTAAATTGGTCCCTTTTCAATGCTTCACAGCATGGGATATTTTTCTTCCATTCGCATCCGGATACGTTCGGTTTATTTTCACGTGGAGTTGGCATGGTCAAAAAAAAAAAAAGAAAAAAAAAAACACACCAAAAGGAAGTTGGCAGAATTGTGAACGAAATTGCAAAATGGTATAGAAGAAGTAGTTATTTTAAAGGGCCACACAAATGACAATTTAAAAAGGGTTTCCTCAAAAGGTTAAGCATGAACAAGATTTTTTTTTAAAAAAAGAAGTTTAGTTATGACGCCAACGTTATCCGATGTTGTGAAAAAAAATGCAGTAGAAAATGTAGTGCCACTGTCACCCGCCACGCATTTTTTTCTTTTTTTTTTTCAAACATTTTTTGCCATCCTGGGCAAGGTTATTTGTTCGCTACTTATGGGATGTATCCTTTTTATGAAAAATTAATAAACACGTGAAATATAATGAGAACAGAAAGGTAAAAAAAAACAACCGCAACGTGTATACAAAAGAGGTGAAAAAAAAAAACAATAAGAAAAACTGTTTAACTCGATTGTATTACAAGTTTTTATCTTTTTTTTTCTTTTTACGTCTGATTGCGAAAAAAATTATATTTTAAAAAAAAGGCACAAGGGTTTATTTGGCTTTTGGAAAACGATTGCCATTTGGGGGAGGCACATAGACGCAAGCACATGTATATACAATTTATGCTTGAAAGATCGGCGTGTAGTTAACAAAGGAAAAGAGGCATACAAAATATACACCCCTGCAGGTGAGAGTATGTATGCATTGATGCCATTTTCTTGTGAGAAATCCACTAAGGGAAAAAAAAAAATAGAACGGCTAAAAACGGCACCTTTTTTTTTCCAACCCGTTTTGACTTTTAACCCGCCAATCTCTTAATTGACCTTTTTTTTACTCCTTCTTTTCGTGCCCCACAAAGTGTGATAAAAAAAAAATCTATGTGTTCCTAAGTTGGGGCATTTTTATAGCTACGTTTTGTTTATGCCGATATAGTCTCGCTGAATCCTCTATGCATACTTGCCATTTTGTGAACAAATAGCGAGAAAAAGAAAAAAAAAAAAAGAAGAGATAAATTGCACCTTTTAAGGTTTTAAATAACCTACCCATTCTGTTAAAATAAAAATTGAATTAACTTTTATCGTAAGTTTTGTGACCCCTGAGTTACGCTAAGCGAACGTAAGCCCTCGTGCACGCATGCATGTGGTAGGAAGTGGTAAGAAGTAGTTAAGAAGTGGTAGGACAACGCGACTCCATCTACATAGACACACCGAATCGGCGTCGCCCTGCCCTCGCATATCCACTCACTTGTACTGCCAGTGGCATACCCCTCGAATTGATGAAGAGGAGACAGTGATACGTGGATGTTGAAAACGACGAAGATCATTTTTTTCATTTGGGTAGAGGATTCATCTGGCGGATCAGCCAATCGGTAAAGCAACAGATGCTTGTGTGCGGTGTGTATATACGAATGGATAAACGTACCAATCGGCTTGAACAGCAATCGCCTGGAGCACCACGCCGTTGGCGCAGCAATCGGCCTACTTACCATTCGGGGTGTGCATGAATATATACTTATCAGAAAAAAATTATGATCCCCCCTTATGGGAAAATACACGTTTCTCTGTCAAACAAGTATGTTGAATTTTACGAAGAAAAAAGTTTAAAGGAGGCACAAAACTGTACAGGAAAAGAAAATGACATAAAATTATCATGTGAAGATGAGGAGTCCACCACGGTTGGGTGCACACGGGATGACGTGTCTCTGGATGGACATACAGATGAGAAAGATTTTAGAGAAACGAATCATCAGCCTGGATGCCACCCTGCCGGTTTAAGTAAATACCATTTGGGAGATGGTAAAAGGGGTGACACGTCGCCGGAGTTAACTTCCTCCGGTGTAATCGGCAGCGAGTGTGAGAAGAGCACGCCCCGAGTGGAAGCGGCAACCGCGTTGCTCGTTCCTCCTGAGCAGCACTCAGGTACGGAACCATTGGGACGGGGTGATGGCGGCGTTGCTACCGTTGACAGTGTTGCTACCGTTGACAGTGTTGCTACCGTTGACAGCGTTTCTACCGTCGATGATGTCCGTGCTGAACGTGCCAGCCCTGGCGAGGAATCCCCGAATCAAGTGAACTGCAAAAGAGGGAAGGCAACCACCCCCACGGTCCGACTAAAAAGTTTCAAAAAAATCTTTAACAGAACATTCAGCAAGTATTACTTTATCGGAAAGCCGTTCAAGAGGTACATGAAAGTGAGAAAGAGTGCTTCACAGGAAAAAGTGAAAAAGCGTGAAAGTAAAAAAGTTAGTACAAATGGGATACCCATATCGAAGAAAGTAGGAGCACTGGCATGCCATGATGAGGAGGACTTCTCTGTTAAGAGGCTTGAGGCGACATCCTCAGAGAGCGCCAAAAGGAGAGACAAGGTTACAATGGGGGAGGAAGAACACACTGACGGGAACATAATCCCAGTGAGAAAATGCCTCCATCAGATGTTGCTGCGCCCCCCAAAGGTGCGGATAACAAATCGGGGGAACGTCGTGTTGTCCAAAATGATAACAAAGGGAAGCATCTCTAGAAAAAAGCTGGAAACGGTGGAAAAGTTGAAAAATGTCGAAAAGGTGAAAAAGATAAAAATCGTAAAGAAAATGAAGAAGGAAGGAAAGCCCGTTGATTTGAAAAGGAAAAACAGCTTTAACGTGGATGCAGGTCCACACATCGGCGAAGACAAATGCCACACGCATGAAACCTCGACGGTGTCCATTCAGAGTACTAGGCTCCTTGTGCATAGGGAGAAGTGCGAATCGATGCGGAAACCGGTAGTTAACCGGAAGGACGAGGTTACAAATGGAAGTTGTTCTGCCCGAATTGAAGGCAACTGCATGGGGAGGTACACAGAAGGAAATGTTAAAAACAAGAAGAAGAAAAAGAAAAAAAAGAAGGGCACCCCCGAGGGGGACAGTGCGATCGGCGGTGGGGGACGCAGCTTTGGTGACCGAAGTCCAAGTGATGCACATTTAACGGGGAAACGTCCGATGGAATGCAAACCGAACGGAAACGCGGCGATGCATGAGGAGACCGTTCCTGAGAAGGTACACCGCGAGACGCTTGATTCTTTGCATAAACAGCAACCAGAAAGTGGACAACATAGCAAAGAGGGTGCAACGATGGCAGCCCCCAATGGAGGCACTGTGCATAATGAAGAGCAGAGATACAACAAAAACGTAAGAGACGAGGGAGAACGGAAAGGCGTGGTGATAAAAAAAGGCGATGGGCGGTACATGTCCGGGGAGGATCCCGAAGTGGGTGCGATGGTGAGGCCGACTGGTTGCGACAAAGAGGGGGGGAAGCGAAAAAAGAAAAAAAAAAGTGCACGTGGCTGTGCCAGTGCAAGTTTCAACCCTAATGAGGACGGCGAAGCGGGAAGGCGAAGCCAACTGAACCCAAGCGAACTAAACCTGAGCGAATATCTCATACTCAAGGAAATAAAAACCAAGCAGAGCAACGAAATGGTGCAGCTGAACCTTGATTCATCCTTCTTTGTGTCCAAAGGCGCGGGTCTGTACAACTATGGCCAGAATATCTGCTTCTTTAACAGCATAATACAGACCATCGTGAGGATCCCCTACATCTGCAAAGATCTGTTAAGCAAATTGCATTCGTTAAATTGTGAAAAGAAAAAGGTGCGCGTGTTTTGCTTCTATTGCTTGTTCGAACAGTTCGCCTGCAACATTATATCCAAAAAGTGCGGAATAAAAAATATGCTCATCCCGTATATAAAAAAATACATTTGTAATAACTACATTGTTGGCTACCAGGAAGATGTTCATGAGTATCTGCGTTACTTCCTTTGCTCGCTGGAGAAGTCTTCCTTCTCGTCGTCCATTTATATACAGAAAATGTTCACCGGGGTGACGAAGAACATAACGATATGCACAAAATGTAACAATGTGTCGTTAAAATATGAGCAGTATTACGAGCTCTCCTTGGATATCAGCTCATCGAATAATTTAGAAGAGGCGCTTCGGAAATATATTTCTAAGGAGACCCTCTTGGGGGATAATGGATACTACTGTGACAAATGCAGGAAGAAAAAAAAAGCCACCAAACAGTGTGTTATTAATAAACTCCCAAGAGTGCTTACCATCCAAATTAAGAGATTCTTTATGAACTCTAAATTTCATGTGATAAAAAATCACAAACATATTTCCTACCCCTTGTACCTCGACATGAAGGGCTATGTTAATAACTACGACTTGTTTCAAAATGATTTTAACAATAATGTGATAGCACTCTACGAGAAGGTGAACCTCGCCACGGGGGGAGGAGGCGGCCAGGTAAGCGGCGAGCGAAGCGGCCAGGTAACCGTTCAGCGAAGCATCCAGCGAAGCGGCGTAGAAAATGTGCAGGGACTCGGCCTAGAAAATGTCCAGGGAAACCTCCTAGAAAGTGACATCCGTGGTGATAACCCAAGCGTCCCGCGGAGTACGCGCCCCAATCCTCACGTCCTCAACCAAATCGCGCACATCTTCGCCGAGCTGAAAAGGGAAGTGTGCATGAGGAAAATAAAAAATCAGCTCACCCCCGCGGAGCTTAGAAGCATCATCATGGAAACAAAAAAACGAATCATAAAAGAACTGAACAAAATAAAATTCTCCAAATTTTACAACGACATTCTTTTGAGCATATCGAAGGATATCGACACGTTGTACAGCCACATGAGGGCCAACGCAGGTAAGAAGCATTTTACATTGAAGGGCGCCCTTTTTAACTTCAAAGTGGAGCTCCTCAGTGGGGAGGGGCACCTACCCTCCCAGTACAAACCGTGTAGAAGCGAAAATGGCAATCCAAGGGCAAGCAGCAAATTTGGCGAAGGAAACACGTTTGGAGAAGGAAACACATTCGGCGAAAGAACCACGTTTGCCGAAGTAAACAGATTTGGCGAAGGAGACACGTTTGGAGAAGGAAACAAATTTGACGAAAAAAGGGAACACTCAGCGCACAATGCGAAGAATCACCCCAAGCAAAGAAGCACAAGCTATTTCTCGTACGAATTAACGGGACTAATTAAACACATCGGCTCTGGGACAGAATATGGACACTACGTAGCGCTAACCAAGTCAAACAACAACATATACCTGCTCTGTGATGACAATAACATTTCATACATCAACAAAAAAGACGTCCTAAACTGTGTAAAGAATGCCTACGTTTTTATTTACACGTGTATCCACCCCGACTTTATCGATTTTTATAATAAGTATGTGGATGTCTTGGAAAAAAAAAAGTTTAATATTAACTTACCCGTATTCGAGAAGCGAGTCGAATTTAAGGAGCGCATAACTATGCCCAAGCAGAAGTTCATCAGTAGGTCTCTCCATTTTTGAGAGGCTCGCTCGTTGTGCGGTCCATGCCCCAGTGGGGAGGATCTTCCAACTGGCAGGGCAGAAGCAATTTTTGGAAGCGAATGTGTGGAGGGGCAGGCACAGAAGGCTTCCCACGAAGTTTTCCACTTTGAAGTATTCTCCACGGCAACTCCTTGCGCAGCCAAGATCCCGTTACAAGTTAGATAAAAAGAACAGCAAAGGGAGTGACCAACGGGTTCCATAGCCATGTCGTCAATCGCAACACGATGTGCATATTCGATAGGAAAAGGGGAGAAAAAAAAATCCCCTTTTTTGATACCCAGATTGATAACAAGCAACCATCCCCTTCCTTTTTGCTTCCCACCCCTGAGTGAAATCTCCCAATTGAGGCACAGAAAGCTTTCTCCGCCGAATTACCATCTTTTCATGCCCTCCTGCTCCCTCCCCCTAAAGGACGACCAAGTTGCATCCTTCTCCCTCTGCCTATGTGCGTGTTGAGGAGTCCCTTCACTTATCCCCTAAATAACAAAACCTTCTTTGTTATGTCAGGGAATTGTTTTCTCCCCCTTTGATGATGAATTCTTTTTCATACCTTTTCGGGAACATGGGGGGCCTCACCTATTGGTTCTTGATCTCGTCCTGATTAGCACCTATCGCCCTCCCTGCCACTATCTATTTCACCCTTTTTCAGTTTTTTTTTTTTTTTTGTTTCTACGTAATTTCCTCATTTGTTTAACCTTCTCATCATATCCATATTTGAAAAATTGAACTCACCCCCGTTCCTTTTTTTTTTTAAATAATCCAATTATTATGCAAATTCGAGTTACACATTTTTAATTTCGTGTTTACCCTGTTCTGATCCGTGTCGATCCCCTTCTATCTGCCTCGATCCGCATCTATACACTGCCATCCTGTGCGCGTGGAAAAGAAATCCCCTGCCAGGTGCTCCAAACGAGGGATATGTCTCTGCTACTCCCTACCCCTGAACCGTTGAAGCATTGGCTATAGCTCCATTGGACGTGGTAACCTCAGATTGGAAGTGCAAAGAGTACTTGCGCGATTCATTTTTTGCAGTGAAAAGGGTGATGGTGTTGGTGGGATTTTGTGACGTCCTACGGGGAGAAGCCGTGCCATGGGGAGAAGACGTGCCATGGGGAGAAGACGTGCTTCAATTGCAACTCCCATCCACAAGCGTGGCGTTAGAAGGAAAAGAGAGAACTTCGCATAATGTGGGGAAATTACTTCCGATACAAAGGTGCGACGAACGTGGGTTTCGAGTACTCCCCTTTTCTCTGGTAGAGGGAGAAAAGGGGGTCATCCCAATTGGGCAAAGTTCGTAGCGCGTTCATTTTGGCGGCGAATGGGGGGAAAAAAACAAGTACGCACGAGGGCACAAAGGGACAAAGGCACAAACGCAGACATGCATATACACATATGTACATGCAAGGAGACACATATGTCTCACTACATATCTGGCCGCGCCTCAGCTCAGCGCTTGCCCCGGCGGTTGCGCGAAATCTCCTTGATGAGCGAGTCAATGGTTATGTTGTCCAGGATGCTCTGTATAACTTTGTTCAACGTGGAGATGTCGTTGGGGATGTTCTTATCGAATCGAATTTTCTGCGCAATCCACCCCCCTTCGATTTTCTCCTCCATTCCATTTTCATTTTTGAAAATGGAAAAAATATGCTTCGCAACGTAGTAGCATTCGATAATATAATGAGAAATTTTGTTGTTTAAGGCTAGGGTTAGGAGTTCCTTGTACACGTCGCCATACTCTGCAAGGTATGTCCGATATGACGTCCTCACGCCCCTGATGGAAATAAAAAGCTCAAACTTCTCGGGAAAATTCTGCTGGTCATATATGGTTTCAATTCCAAAGTCGACGGTGTTTAAATTGAGTGGTTTCCATTTTAGCAGCTCGAAGAAATTGCCAGTTCTGTAGGGATAATTCAGTGGGGTGAATATAATCCCATCAGATGGGTGGGGAAGCTTCTTAATGGTTTGAATCAGTTCTTTGATTTGGGAAATAGAGTAGAAATCCTTTAAGTAAATTTCGAATGGGAGATTTTCTTCCTCAGGGAGGCTACCTTCATCGGAGGGGATTGTCTCATCTGATTCGTCACACAGCTGTCCATCGATAGGGGTCCCATCATGTTGGCTGTTTATGTGGGCCTCCTTCCTATCCATCGAATGTTCCTCGAACCCAGACGGAGTTGCACTTCTTGCAACAGGGTGAGTATCGTTATGATCGCTCCATTGATCGGTTGAGTTGTCCTTATCGCCCATTTGGTTTACTCTTCCTCTTAGGCTCCCTGTATCACTGATATTCGCGCTGACATTTCTGCTGCCATCTGCGCTGACATTTTTGCCCTCATTTGTGCTGCCATTTTTACTGCCATTCGCGCTGACATTTTTACTGTCATCCCTGCTACCATTTATACTTCGCCAATGGTTCACATTCCCGTCATCCGATTCGAATGCGGAGCGAGATGGAGGCGTTGGCCCGCTGCTCCGCTTCCTCTGCTTGGTCCATCTCCTGTACTTCTTCAAAGGAACAATGACAAAGTTGTAAACATTGGTCAGCCTCTCCAAATAGTTCAAAGATGTTACGTCCTTCCTATGGATAAACAGGCCGTCATATATCAAATAGACAATTTTATTTTCTTCGACTCCTTTTTTTTTGTTAAAAATTGTGTCCTGGACCAATTCTCCATCGAGTAATGTCAACTGCTGCTTGGCGTGCAAATCGTCATGTGTAGGGATGTGGATATCATTTTTGAAGATATCATAATTCCTATCAATTAGGAAAGTCGTGTTCGAAGCAATAAATAGAAAGTACCTCACTCCGTCGGTCTTTTCGCATATTAAATAATCCTTGCTAAACAGATTCCTGATGTTGTTTTTTGTTAGCGATACTGGATTGCTTCCTGGGAACCCCTTGCGCTTCCATTTTAGCATGTCGTTTATTTTGGAACGAATTTTCTCCTTAACGAATTCATTTTCTATTTTTTCCCCCGGGTGGTAAATATCGGTGATCATTATGCGTGGGCAACGAGAAAACGGAAAAAAATGGGAAGAAAAAAAAAACAAGGTCAAAAACACGTCAAAAGAACGTCAAAAGAACGTCAAAAAATGTGAAAAAACGAAAAAAAACAGAAAAAACGGAAGGAACAAAAAAAAAGGGTGACGAATTAGGCTACTTTACATACTACAAGTTTGCCAGTTGCCAAAAGTTCGTTAACTTCTTTTTTTTTTTTTTTTTTCATATTCTCTTTATGGAATTTCGCCCCACACGGCGAACCCGATTTGGTATTCGTCCCATCTAATCCATTGATGAACTCGTTCTTCACGTCGCACTACTTTTTTTCTTTTTTCTTTTTTGGGGGCCACTTATCATTCCTTTCGACCTAATAATTGGCTGCACGGATAGTCTTGGGAAAACTCCCTTTTTTGACAATCTAAGCGAATTGTTGACCTGAACCCTTTTAGCGATGTATTTCTAAATGACTAGCAAAAATTACTCGCCTAGAGGTGCAGTGTGTTCGTGCACGGGTTCGCCGGCGGGGGGATATACACTCACAACTCACAAGGTGCCAGAAGTTATTTCCGTGTGTTCCAACTGGGGAGAGGTCCCTCATCCCTGTATTTCTCCCCTTGGGGGCATTGTCGCATCCGTGTAGGTTTACCCTACTGCTGCTATGCTATTCGTACGTTGCTGAAAAATGATGCCTCTCTTTAAATCCTCTCATAAACAGAGAGTTTGCCCCTTATAGTATGACCCCCTTCTCCCGTAAAGTCTTACCATTCTTTTGCCATTCTTTTACCATTTTTTTCTTTTCTTTCTTTTCTTTTTTTTCATATTTTCAGTCGCTTGACATGTGCACTCCTTGTGCTGCCTCCTTTTGTAAATTTCGCATTTATCCCATTTTGTGCATCCCCTACATAAATTTGTCTTCCCTGATTGGTGCACATTTTTGTCCCCCTTGATATTTTAACGTGGTCTACATATCATCGGCTGTGTAATGGTTATGCGTCCATTCGTGTCATCATATTTAAACATGCCTAAGAAAATCTTTTGCATGTATAGAGGCGAAACAGCACACTTTTGGCGCGAGGGGTAATGACTCCCTCTTGTGGTGCTCGTTCAGTGAGGTTCCCTCTAAGACGCTTGTTCACCGCAATGCCCTGCGCGTGGGTTCGTTCGTTCGTTAGTTGTATTGATGCTTGCTCGTTTGGTTTGCCTCGTGTGGTTTGAAGTATAGTCCCGCTAAAACAGCGTCGTGCTCGCTACCCCTCGGCTTGTATGCGCAACCCCGTTTCGCGATCCATACAGGTCCCCCCACGAGGCGATGTTAATTGTGGAAACAAATGCAGTGTGCACATAACAAATCAGCTGCAGAGTATCCAAATGCCTGGTGTGTTCCTTCCATCTCGCGATCGTTTCTCAAAATACAGGGGTTGCTTTATGACAACATTATCACGACAGCTTCGGTGGGTCAATAAATTCGAGTTATCCATTTGTGCATTTAACTGGTGCATTTTTTGGTTTGCGCTGTTCTTCCCTTTATGAGCACATGGAAAATTATCGATAAAAAGGAAACATATGACCATCCCCTTTTTTCTTCACTACAAACTCTTCACTCTGTTGGAAGGCGGTATTGCCCCTGCGCGGGGCGCGAACAAGTGTTAGAGATCCGAGGTGGAAGAGTCAATGTCCTTTTCTCCACGCTCCTCTGCGAGGCTGAGGTGGAAGACTATTTACGAACACGGTTAAGCATATCTGCATGCGTAACTCCGTGGGACAGTATGCACCTCGCGCCTTTGCGAGGCCACAGATAACGCCTGGGGGGGAACAAAGTCGGGAGGGCAAAATGGAAGCAGCAAAGTGAACGCGACAAAAGGAGGGGCCAACCAACAAATATACTCATATATATGTGAATATGTGTATATATCTGCATGTCTGTACAAATATACGTACGGAGGCAGCAAAACGAGGAAGCGAAACGAGGAAGCGAAACGGGGGGACCAACTCTTTATTTTTTCAGTTCCACGCGCTCAAGCATTTTCCATCCCAAGGAAAAGGCGCGAAAAAAAGGAAAAGAAAAAAACAGAAAAGTGGGGGAAGAAATACACAAAAAAGTGTGAAAAAAAAAATGCAGAAAGATAAAATATCGCAAAAAAATAATGTGGCAAAAGGAACAAAAAAAAAAAAGTAACCCTTTTGTGTAATCCCAATTGGGTGTTTTATTTACCAAATCATTCTTTTCGTTATTTGCCCCCTTTTACGTTTTTTCCCATTTTTACACATGTCAAGTATTTACGTTTTATAAGCTTTAGCAAATACTTATGTCACTCGAATGGTTAACTTCCCCGCATGAGGGTATAACACCTCCCATATTCCCATTCCGTACGTACGGGGGATGCGTATGTAACCGTATGTGTACCAATGTAAACACGCTGAGATGCTTTGCCGTGTGGTTAAGCGTACGCGTTGCTCTTTATCTGTCCTTTCAAACAGTTGCATAGGCGCGATTACGTTGCGCGGCTGTGTCGCTCATGTAGGGGGATTAACCAATTCGAATATTTTGTGAATGACTCAGGGGGGGATTTTTTTTTTTTCTTTTTTTTCTGGTTCTTTTCACCCTTGCATTAGCCTGCGTCTCGTTGACGATGTCCCCTTCTCATTATCCTCATCCCTATTTTTATCTGTACCAGTTCGGTGACGAATCTTCTGGCCTCCACCAGTCGCCCCTTTTTTTTTAAAAACCTGTCATGTGCGACCGCTTGGGATGGATACATTTGCCTGGGCACGTCCCCGCGAATTCTATTCATCAGCATTAATCCGTACTCCCGTGAGTACCTATTTCGTGTGCGATTTTTTCTGTACCTTTGTGATTTGTATATACGTGAATGGAAATTATAAACATCCCTTGTGGGGTTCCATCTCTCCGCCGCTGATGCAATTTTGTAAAACTTCCCATTTGTATATTATTCTCCAATATATAATGGATCCATAAAATGGGTTTACCAAAACCGTAAAGGGGGTTTGACTTGAATATGCTTTTACTGGGAATGGCATATAGTCCCCTTCCAAGTTGTCTGTCGTTATTTTCCCGGACGCTTCATAATTTAGCCAAACGAAGATTTGCATATCGAGGTTGACCCCCCTTGTTTACCATTATTTTTGTTTTTGTGTTTATTGTCGCGTCTTTGGTTCACCATTTTTTTGATTTGCATTTTTTTGTTTAGTTTATAGAAACCCACGTGTGATCGTTTGGCAGTGTGGAACGACTTTTATTTATTTATTTATTTTTTTTTTTGTACATTTTAAAATAATAAAGTGAATGAAATTGATGCCGCTCACTCGTTGTGTGTGCCGGCGAAGAGACGTAACAACGGAGATAGCTACAACGTGGTGTCACCCCAAATTTCGGTATATGTAAAGGAGTAAGATTTTTCGTCAACTTCGCCCCAAGAAGGCTTTTAACTCCATTGTGGAAAATATTATTGGAAAAAAAAAAAAAAAGTGTCACATCACGTCGGGCGAGAATGAACCAATATGATCAGTGGAATCGAAGGATCCGGGTAAGCTCAAAAGAATGGTGCCCATAAAAAAGGCACAAAAAAGAGAAGCAGCTCATGTCCAGGATGCTGTTCCCATTGAGGATGTATGTGCGTCATGCATGCTGTGCATGTGGCGCAGATCAGTTCTGCACCTTTTCATATCAAGGAACAACTGCACACCGATGACAGCCACGCAGTTCTCCTATTATTAAACGTAATTTGTCTTTTTTATCCCCTCCCCGATTACAGACCATCTGGTATTGCAGCAGTCTATATGTGGAATACAAAAATGCCCTGAGGAAATCGAGGAAGATGCCGGTCGAGAAGAAGACCGAGTACTGGGAGAAGAAGCACGAGGAGTTTGCCACGAAGATGTTGAACAATATATACGAATTGAGGGGTTAGTGCAGAGAAGTACTCCTTTGTTATTGTTTCGTTGCAGTGTGTCTTATGTTGACATGGAAACGCATTATTTGTGAATCATCCGGATGTGCAGCATCTTGGTGCCTATCCCACGCATGGACTACGCTCTGGAAAAGTGGGTCTAATATATATATTTTTTTTTTTTTTTTTTCCCTTACGCAGGGTGGTGGGTGAAAGTAGGGCAGTTCCTAAGTACGCAGGAAAACATCATGCCTGTGGCATACATCGAGAAGTTCACCAAGCTTCAGGATATGATGCCCACTTCCTCGTTCGACAAGATAGAAGTCATTCTTAAGAGGGAATTGGGTAAGGAGTGTCTCATGATTGATGTATGCGAGCAGTTGGGGTAGCCGCTCTCGTTACGCTCTCCTCACAAGGGGCAAGCGCAAATGTAGACATTCCCCCGGCTAAACAAAAATGTATAATTTTCCCTCTCCTTAGGAAACATCTATGACATATTCGAGCACATCGAAAAGGAACCCCTAGCAAGCGCATCGATAGGACAAGTTCATCGAGCAAAATTAAAGAAGCACGAACATGATCCGAACCCAGCTGCAGTTGTGAAAAAGAATGATTACAATGTTATTATAAAAATTCAACACGAAGGAATCGATCAATTTCTTTCTTCCGATATAAATACATTGAAGAAAGTATCTTGGGCCTTTGGTCTAATAGACAAGAATTTTTATTTCACCGATTTTATTGATGAATGGCAAGACTCCGCCTCCAGAGAGTTAAATTACAAATACGAATTGTATCATCAGTTATTGGCATACAATACTTTTAAAAAATCTGGAATCCCCCTGAAAATCCCACAGATATATTGCGCCTATACCACCTCCAAAGTTCTCGTCATGGAATACATCAAGGGGTTTAAAATAACAGACACGAATTCGATAAAGAAGTATAAAGTGGATGCATATGACTTGGTTTATAAGATTATCGATTATTTTGCTTATCAGATTCATAACGATGGCTTTTTTCATGGAGATCCCCACCCGGGAAATATCCTCGTTATGGTGCAGGAGGGGCGAAGGGGGAAGGGTAGAAGGCGCAAAGGCAGTAGGGGCAGTAGTGGCAACGAGATAAGGCGCTCCAAAAGGGGGCCAAGTGAAGTTGTGCAGAACCCCGCAGAGGGGGAAGAGAAGCCCATTCCAAAAGCACCTTTCCCAAGGGATGACAAGAAGGGAAATGTTCTCAGCACAACTGGGAATACGTCCAATCGGTGCAGCACTCCCAACCGGTCCAACACATCCCACGCATCTAATTCCTCCTCAAGCATGTCTAACGGGTTGAAGACAGCTAACTCTGCCAACGAGCCAATTCCGTCCAACACGTCGAGCGCCTCCATGGAGGACTTCATAGATGCGAGGTACAATATCGATAGGATGAAATGCGCAGCGACGAGCTCCACTAATCTGTTTTATAAATCGTTCAGCTCTGTGGACTACTCGAACAAGAGAGGTGAAGAAATATCAGATCAGATACTGAAGGAGGATTACGATTTTATCCTTAATGAAAACATGAGTGACGGAGTGAGCACCATCCGGAAGAGCATCTCCAAGTCGGACAACTGCTTATCTTATGGAAACTCCAGGAGGGAGGAGTTCTCGCTGCTCGGAAGTGCGACGGGCCCAGGGGAGGAAGGCTCAACTAAGTTGATTGACAATGAGAATAATTCTCTGCGCACGCAAGGGAATCTGTTCCAAGGGGATGAAGTCTTACCAGGGGAGGAAGCAGACAGAAATGGGGCGGAGGTCCATGGTACCGGAGCCGCATCGCAGGGTGAAGAGCCCTCATTGCAGGGTAAGGAACCCCCATTGGAAGTTAACGCAGCCGGGATCCACCCCACACACACAAGACGACGCAGAAGGAAGAGGAGAACCTACTCCTTCGTGCCCGTGATCATCGATTGGGGGCTGATTAAACAGCTAGACGGCGTGATGAAGCTGGCCTTTTGCAAACTAGTGTACAGCATTAGCTGCATGAATGTGCTGAACATCATCGAGGCATTTGAGGACATGGGTTTCTGCTTTAAGGAGGACTTCACGTATGACCCGGAAATATACATTGAAAATTTAAAGCGTTTTTTTTTGAAAAAGTTGGAAGAGTCCAGCACCAAAATGAGCGAAAGTGAAGGCATCGGCGGGGCGGGAGCAACCGGATTAGGAGCAGATAAGGAGTATCCAAATGGTCTAGACGAAACGGGGAAGAATAAAAATTTAGATGTTCTTAAAAATATAGACAAGAAGGAAGTGTTAGACCAGAATCCAATTAGTGATGTCCCAAAGGATATAATTTTTTTCATGAGAGTAGCTTCTCTGCTCCATGGATTATGCACACAAATGAATGTCAACATAAATTACCTGAGCATATTTTCTAGGAGAGCTAAAGAAGCCCTTGAAAAAGTGTACAAACCCATTCATCACTCGATCTATACCATCCCCATTGATAAAACTCCTAATTCGTTTCTTGAAAAGAGAATACATAATTTGCTTAAGAAGCTGTACCAGGAGAAAAAAATTCTGGGGTGCCAGGTAGCCATTATACACAATAAAAAAGTCGTTGTGGACACTTGTGTGGGCATGACCAGCACAACGGACAAGAGACCCATAACGAGACACTCTCTATTCAATGGATACTCCTTAAACAAAGCTATCCTTACCATCGCCTTGATACATCTGATGTCAAACTTGGTCAATGAGCAGTACTCCGCGGACAGCGTGCTGTTAAATTTGAGCAAGAAGAAGAATATGAAGGAAAATCAACAGGAGGAGGGGATGCCTAATTCGAGTGCGACGCGTAAGGAAAACGGGGACGCGACCCCTGCAGAGGAGGAAGAGAAGGTGGAAGACCCAGTGGAAGAGGCCCAGGACACAGCAGAGGTGCAGGACAAGTGCGTCGGTGAAATGCTGAGCGATGTTAAAAAAATCGAAAATGATTATTTTTCGCCCGTTAAGAAGGCGGATGGAGCGGTGGTGTCAGCGGTGTCGAGGGGTGCTCCTGGTCAAGCAGTGGGCCCTGGCGGTCTCTCGGCCACCCCCATCACCAACTATAGCACCATCTACCGCGTGAACAACAACACGAGTCGCTATTGTAGCAGCTACGACCACAGCTTTAGCAGCGATGAAGAGGACGGCAAGGAAGAGGGGAAAGGGAAAGAAAAGGGAAAAGGGAAGGAAAAGGGAAAAGGGAAGGAAAAGGGAAAAGGAAAGGAAGATGAAACGGCACACAGCGGCTCTCACCTCTCATCACAGCGTAACTCTGAGAACCCGCTGCAAACTCCCCCTTTGGAGGAACAGAACGAAGTCTACGACGGGTACAACCGTGAACTGTGTGAACAAATTATAAGTGATATAGAAGCCAGACAAATAAAAAATTTCAAGAGTATTATTAACGACTATATATGCAACTACTGGGACGGATTCATATGCAAAAACAAAAAGAGCATCACAATAAAGGACGTGCTCACGTTGAAGTGTTTCATTAAAAAACCATTTCAAGATAAAATCACGTTAAGTAAATTCATAGACTACGATCAAATGATCAAAATGATAGAGAGCTCTCGAAACTGTCCCGTTAAAAACAAGTCTAAAAGGTACGGACTGTACCTCTACCTAATTGACACCTACATTATCTCTGAACTGATTAACAACATTTCTGGGCTGAAATATCATGAGTATATTTACAAGTATATTATAAAGCCGCTGAATTTGAAGGACGAAATGTACATCCCGATTCCTTCGTACTTTTTGAAAAAACACCAGGAGGAAATGAAGAAGAGCAAAAATACAAGCGACTCTTCTGTCCTGAATGAGAAGGGGAAAAAAAATAACTATAAAGATAAGAAGGAAAATCCAATGAAGGAGTCTTCCAATCCGCTCAGAAACAATGAGTTAAATTTAAACTCTTTTATGTCGAAGAAGAGAAATAAAAAATTAAACAGCGCTTCAAATTTTGGGAACGAATTTCACCAAGGGAAGAATGTAACCCTGTCTAATAGTAACTATAATAATAGGGCTTTCCAGAATAGCGTTCTTGTGAACAGACCGTGGAACCGAAAATTTAGGTCCCCATTGGAAGCAGTGCAGATTACGAGGCGCTCCATAAGTGTCGATGTGTATTATTCTTCTAGGGGGAGGAACCCCTGCGCGGAGGCCTCCACTTCGAAAGGGGCGAAGCATGTGCGGGAGGTGGTTAGCGGTGAGGTGGTTAGCGGTGAGGTGGTTAGCGGTGAGGTGGTTAGCGGTGAGGTGGTTAGCGGTGAGGTGGTTAGCGGTGAGATGGTTAGCGGTGAGATGGTTACTGGTGAGATGGTTAGCGGTGAGGTGATTAGCGATGAGGTGATTAGCGGTAAGGTGGTTAGCGGTGAGGTAGTTAGCGGTCAGGTAATTAGCGGGCAGGACAAACCCGCGGAAGGCGAAGCAAACGGGGGGCGCTCCAACACAGATGAGCCAACCTCAATCAACATCCTTCTAAACAGCAAAAAGATCACCCAGTTCGGGGGGGACAAGAAATTCGAACAGAGTAGCATGCTAGAAAGCAACCTAAAAACAAAAGAACCACTCAGCCTCAGAACCAAGTTGCTAAGTCATGTGGACAATCTCAAAGTCAAGACGAAAAAAATTAACGACTCGATTAAAAATATGTACGAAAATAATGAAAACACATTTTTAAAAAATCTCTTTATGACTCCATTGAAGAAAGCGGACCATGCCAGCAGCGCCCTCACCTATGATTACCGCAATGTTGAGCTTAGCTACATTTACAACAAAAAGTTGGGCAGCTATACAAAAAGAAGAAATTATCCAAATTGTCAAAATTGTCAAAATTATCAAAATTATCCATACGGGGCGCACAATTATTATTACAATGATTTTGCTCGAGAAGACATAAAACAAAATAAAATAGACAAAAAATGGAACATAAAAAATATCAACAAGATTACCTCTAACTTTCGATTCACAGAAAAAAATAAAAAAGATTTTCTCTTTGTTCGATCAAATGACGAGAAGAACAAGCGTTCACATAGCTGCTCAAATTATAAGTTAGTCCAATACAACATAAACAGACACACACATCGTGATGAGGATGGAAATATATTACCCAATTCGGACAACTCCAATGGCATCGTTTTTAAGTACCAGAATGATACGAATGAATTTCTCTTTGATTACAATGTTCACTTTTTTTCCGCGAATTTTTTTAATATGTTACCCGAAGAAAAGGATAAAAAAAAAGACCCCCACGATGCCAACAGTCCATCTTACAACTTAGAAGAAGGGAGCCAATTTTTCAAGTTAACGTTCGACGAAAATGTCAGAACGTTGCTCGAAAATGTAGACGCGAAGAGCAGCGGCAATGAGTCCGCCAACAGTGTACTGAAGGAGAAGTATAATAAATATCAGAGGCGAGAAAAGAAGTACCGGAAGTTGTTTCAATATATAAAAGATTTGAGAATGAGCATACGGGAGAAGGAGAGGAAGATTAGGGAGGCCAGCATTGCCTTGGTGCGCAGTGCTCAGGTGGAATCGGGTGGTAGTGCCGTCAGCGTACGTAGTGCAGGCAGCACGGAAAGCGCCACATTCACCGTGAGGAATGGGAGCTCCGTGAAGAATGAGAGCTTCGTCAAGAATGGAAGCTCCGTGAAGAACGAGAGCTCCGTGAAGAATGAAAGCTTCGTAAAGAATGAGAGCTCCTTAAAGAACGAAAGCATGCTGAACAGCCACAACAGCTTCAAAAGGGGGGGAGTGCCCCCCGAAATGAACCAAGACTTCCTCAAAAGTGTCATAAAAAAGGACGAGGAACTTCTAAAAAAACTAATCGAGTACAAGTACGCCATCCTGAAGAGACAAAGAAACAACATTCTGAAGAGAAAAAACAAAAAGAACATTTACACCAATGAATACTCCGACGAGATCGAGATGTTTAGTGACAGTGAAGGAGACTCGCGCGGCTGCAAAAGGGGAGCCAACAAGAAGTCTAAAGCCATCCGCAAAGGCAACGGAAGATGCAACGGAGAGCATCAAGAAGACGACGGAGCCGCGGCCTCGCCTAACAACAGCGCATGCGAAATCGAGGAAAAAAAACTCATAGACGAGAAGAAACACAGACTGGAAACGTATCTAATCATGAACAAGTTATATAAAAAAAACAACAAAGGGTTGATATCGGAAGAGAACCACACCATCAATAAGAGGACTGACGTGTACTGGCGCTTGGCATATTCCAAAAGAGACATTAACTTCATGGAAAATGTTGCCAAGGAAGACATGAATAGCCACTTCGATTCCATTTTGAGGTCAAACATGAAGGCGAAAAAAAACGGGTGCGGTGACACAGATGAGGGGAAGGGCGGCAGTGCCGAGGGTTACACTGGTGTGAACAGTGGTAGTGGTATCAGCAGTAGCAGTGGTGTGAAAAGTGGCAGTGGTATGAACAGTGGCAGTGTTACAAAAGGAGCCAACGTGGAAAACGTGGTTAGCCCTGCCGGCGGCATTGGTACTACGAATCTGGCTAACCCCACGGGTGGCGCCACCACGGGCGGAAACTCCAATCTGGAAAGCAAACTGAAAAGTTATTTGGAAAACTTTAATGCCAAACAGTACAACGAATACATTTCGCTATTTCAGCTAGCCCAGGCAAAGCCCTACGTGGTAGACCCCCTAATTTACGACTCCAAAAAAATCCTAGACAAATTTATTCCAATTAATGGACGGTTTACCGCTAGGGCTATGTGCAAAATAATGGCCTTTGCGAATAATAAATTTTTTTTCCCTTCCTACATTATGAACAGAGTGAGGAAAATATATGCACTCGATGAAAGCATCGAATCTATGATCCTGACGGGGGGCATGAGCAGGAAATGGGGCATGGGGTTTCAGCTCTTCGAGTGCGAATATGCAGAAGCTATCAATGAGGATTTTTACCTGCGCAGGGGTAGGAATCCCAAGGGGAGAAGCAGAAGGGGGGGATGTCGCAAGGGGGACGGCAAGAGAGAAGGCCAAGGAGTAGGAACCCCGAGTAGAAAAGGCAACACTGGAAGGAAAGACAACACAGAACAGATTAACAAACATGGGAAGGCAGGCAAAAATCGAAAAATGAATAATGACAAGATCCCCGCTTCCAAGCCTAAGCGAATTGTCGGGTACGGACAGTCCGACTTCAGCGGATGCCTCGCCGTTTCCTTTCCCGAAATTGACCTCTCACTCACGATTCTTCTAACAGACATTTTTAAGGGGGCAACGGTAAGGATTAAGATTTGTGGGGAAACGGAACTCTCCTCGGGCATCTACTGTGGTGGGAGAGGCATCGAGGAGGTGCGCCCACTGGACAGCGCGAGCTGAACACTGCGGAGAACTCGAACGGATTCCCCTTTAACATGCACATATATATATATCTATTTATTTTTATTTTTTCTTTTACCGCCCCCTCCCCCCTTCAGGTTGCCCATATAATCCTGGAGTATGTGCTCAAGATGTACGGCATAAAGCCCAAGTGGAAGCTGCCAGTGAAGGTGTCGGAACTGATAAAGGTTTTGTAGCCAGGGGCAGCACAGAAGATAGGAGAGCAGCTATCGTGGTCCCTGGGATGTAATTTTTCACCCGCGCCTGAGCGTCATTTGTTCATATTAGTTCCGATTTGCACAGCGGCACAGCTTTTTCCCGATCGTCCCTCACTCCTGTGTAGCGATGCCCAACTGTTTCCAAAATGTCAAATGTTCATCATGAAAGTCCGTCCGCCATATGGATATATTTATATATGCATATGTGTTTGTGTCTTTTTCCCCCCTCTTTGTACTAATTAAAAAGAACGGATGATCGTGTGCCCCCTTAGCCCAGTCCACGTGCGTAGGTGCATTGCTGCGTAAGAGAAAAAACTGTCCGAGTGCATGCCGATTAATTCCATGTACCGTTAAAGCCAGAACTATAATCATCTCACATGGTCTCCTTTTTAGTGTAAACATATGTGTCATATATTAATAAGCTCATAAAAAGTTTTGCGTCCTCTTTTTTTCCCAAACGTCTTATGTGCACGTCGGAGTTACGTACTTGGGGTCAGGTCCCTCAAAAAAAGAATATTGTCCATGTTGTAAAAGCATTTGTACAGCTAAAGTGCAATGCTAATCTTAAGGTTAAAATGGTGAGGAATCAGTGTAGAGGGCAAAATTGTTGCCTCATCCCTTCTCGTTGTAAATTATATTGACGACAATTTTTCCTTCGCTGCGGTGACTATTCCCCACTGCTGAGACGAGTCTCTAATAATGTTCCTTCTTACACGTTTTAACTTCACGATTTTGCTTTTCCCCCCAACCGAATGATAAGGTAAATAATTTAATTTTTTTTATTTTTTTTTGTACGCCTATAAAACAGGGACACTGTTTGCGAAATGCCTCACCACCCCCCGCTGAAAATGTTGGCAATACCTTTTTATATATATTATTCCATTTTATTATTTTTAAGTTTCCTTTTTTTTTTTTCTTTTTTTTTTTCAATTTAAAATGTCCTTTTTTTTTAATAAATACATGAATAATTCATATCAATAATTTAAATATAAGAAGGAAATCTGTGCATGCACAGATGGGGATGCGCGCATGAGAAAGCGTGGGTACGTGACGTGTATGTTGCGTGAAGTGCGTGGGTACATTTGCTTTAAAACATACAGAAGTATACATTTATATATAGACGCATCAGGAGGGGGTAATTCAATTTTTAAATGCGCAGGCGACGATTCATAAAAGTGTGGTAGACATACGTCGTGTGTTGCTGTGTCCGCGGACGCTTTGGTGCGCGCTCATACGCAGATAAATATATACATATATATGAACATATATATCTATATATGTGTATATTTATATAGATCTACAATCGTGGCTTTGCGAAGCTTGACTGGGGGAGATGAGCCGTACGATATAGGAGGGACATGCGTGAAGGATAGCTTTCCAGCAATTTTTTGGGTGTTCAAAAAAAAAAAAGAAAAAATTTAAACTATGTAAACAATTTTGAAAAATTATATACTTCTTATATGGGCGTATAGACGCGTTGGAAGTTGTGTGTAGGCGTTGTTCGTACGTTTGCGCATTGGAGCGCAGACGGGAATAGGTGTGCATAACTGCATGCGTTCATGAGGAAGATGTGCAAAAACAATCTCTTAAACAAATTTGAATTAAAAAAAAATTGGGTGAACTAAATTAAAACATATATATCAAAATTTTATGTGGCATATTAATAAGTTTATATTTTACAATTGAAATGCTGAGAGCTCCAGGGTTGCTGCTTTCAGTTAGCAGCCTTTTTTTTTTCGACTGGCTTTAAAATCTGAGAGGGAAAGGAGTACGCGCGGGGGCGTGGGAATGTGCATGTGCGAGGGGGTATGCATATAACGCGCGCGGGCGCGCGAAGGTGCAATCGGAAAAAACGTTGCTTTGGTTTATTCGTCATTTCGATTCTCTATTTTTCAATTTTTTCCCTACTTGAAATGAACACATTAACGTCTCGTCGACACTCATCATTGCACCGGCATTATCAAATTCTCCGCAATAGTTGGGAGCGGAAAACAACGTAACCAGCTGTCTTTTCGCGAAAAACTCGTAGCCATCTTCCACCACCTGTAGGGGCAATGTAAGGGCAATGTAGGGACAACATGGGGGCAAATCGGCGTGAGTTTCTTGCAGCATGTGAGGGAAAAAATCACGCTGACGAGGCAGACACAAATTATAGCCCACGTCTGCAAAAGGGCACGTACACACCACAAAGTGCTAACTCCACTTTACCTGATGCGCTCTGCATATCAAATCCAACTCATGCTTTCTTAAAAAATTGTGAACTACATCCTGCCCAAACGTGAAGGAAACTCCTCGGTCGTTTTCTCCCCACCCGTTTATTTCCTTTTCCGGGTCGGACCATAATAAATCACACAGGAGGCCTATACAGGGGGGAAAGGAAAACAGCAAATGGTGGAATGTGACTACAATTATAGAGAAAAAAACACTCAAATAAAAAAGGTAGACAAGCACATAGATACATATACACATACATGTACACATGCGTGTGCGTGAAGAGCGACGGGCCAGAACGGCCTCGTGCAAAGGCAACGCGGAATGGCCCAAAATGAACAACTCCGCGCACACGTTTTTAAAGATCCAAAATGTTCTACTCTTTAATCGCAAATGAAGAAAAAAACAAATTCTGAACAGCCAATATTTTTTTTGCAAAAATTGCACATACTCGCCAAAAAAAAAAAAAAAAAAGGAGTAAAAAGCAAAGAGCTAGCCATTATGATAGCGTTTTCAATCCTGGTGGCAATGCTCTCCATTTGCAACCTCTCGGTGGACTCCTAACCGCTGGCCCATTTGCCTATCTCAAGTTTACCATTGTCGGGGACATCCGTTGGCCTGGTTATCTTCCTAATCTGTTCCATATTATTTAATTCAGGCGACAATCCGCCATGCATACAAAAAATTTTTTCGTCAATTATTGCCGCAACGGGGAGACAGTTGAAGCAATCGATAAATGTTTTCCACAATTTTACACTGTATCTTCGTTTACACTCATCGTAAAATCCGTATATTCTATTTATCGAGGCACACTCGTGATTTCCTCTTAGGAGGAAAAAATTCTCAGGATATTTTATTTTGTACGCTAGCAGTAAGCAAATGGTTTCTAGGCTTTGTTTACCCCTGTCCACGTAATCTCCTAAAAATTGGGGGAAGCAAAAAATGAGAAAATGAGGGTAGACAAATATTTGCACGCGTGTGTGTGTGAAAGCATCCGAATGAGCTACGCGTTAGAAAAGAGTTTTATGGAGAATTTCTCCACTTGGGAAATGAAAATGTAACGTCTACGCAGAAACAAATGGGGCAATGTTAGGAATTATCTCCTAGCGCAATCGACAATTCTGCATGTTCCATGTGCATGCTCGTAGGCATAGGCAAAAGGAGCCCCATCATTACGTCTATGCACATGCGTAGAGGCATGCACGCGCGCGCGATAACTCGAGCCCTGCACTGCTCAATAGCTCCTCCGCGCCAACGCAGATCTTACCCAAAAACAAATAATTGGCATCCGGCGGAAAGCCGCCATACTCGAAGAGCCTTAGCAAGTCATAAAACTGGCCGTGAATGTCTCCACATATTTTTATGGGTGCCTCCAATTCCAATAATATAGGTTGGTTAAGAAAAATTTCTCTGCTGGAAAGGCATAATATTTTTATCTCATTTTCTGTCAAGTTAACATTTTTCCCTGGTCTTGTGCCTCGAACTTCTATTAGTTTTGATATTACATTATCTATATCTATTTCTAATGCCATAATAAATGTTTACTTAAGCGAAATTGAATTTATCTCCTTGGAATGACGAACTCGCACTTCTCCTTAAATATTTTCTTTTAATCATGAAGAATGTATTTTTTTTTTTTTTTTTTCTTTTTTTTTTCCCTTTTCTCTTTTTATTATGGGGTTAAAATATACGACCAGGTGGGGACAAAAAATGTATGCATTTCTTTAGGGGGAAGAGGTGAGGATAGAGAGAAAAAAAAAATAAACATATATGTGCAAATAAACGTGAGGGTTATCTTGCGGCTGAATGTGCAGATTTGCGTGCTGATACGCGTGTATAAGCATTTACACAAATGCGTACATATACTGCATACACATGCGGGCACATTCATGTATATGACATGCATAGGTGTATAATGCTGCGTGTATCATGCTACGCGACGCATTCGCAAAATGCAATAATTATAATTATCCTGGAAATGCGTCCCAAACGTGCTTCTTTACATTATTCGCTACATGAGAAGGGGCATTTAATTTTTTGAAATGGTGCAAAAGTATTTTGAATTAATTATTAGGACTTTTAAAAAATTACCCCTTGTGTTATCCTGGCAGAATGAGTTAAGAATAAAAAAAAAAACGGGATACGTTTTGCTAACTGTCTTATAATACTGCTACGGCTGATGGTGCGATTGCTGCTTTGACTGCTGCTGCGATTGCTCTTCTTCCCTCTAACAGCCTTCCCAATCTACTGAAAGCATATTTTCTCTTATATTCCACGCAAACAGCAATACACATATTCTTTTTTCACATTTGCGTGAGTGTTGAGGATGTATGCGTTTTGTTGATATAGCCCGTTTGACTGCTTTTATTGAGTCACTTTATTAGCTTTTTTATTCGTTCTTTTATTCGATCTTTTATTCATCCTTTTTTTCGTTATTTCTTCCGTTTTTTCCTTTTCTTCGTTTTTTTCCTTTTTTTCTCTATTTCCGTGTGCCTCCACGCCTTGCCTTAAATTGTAAAGCGGCTTTTGATTGTACAATGTAATATTTCTTAATGTATCGCGTTTTGTCCTTTCCTTTGAGCATTCTCTTTTTCTTTCACCCCAGCTTCTATGATTCTTATTTTTAATTCTATATTTGCCTCTGCTTTTGCCTTTTTTCCCCTATTCTATTTTTTCTTCTTACGTAAAATAAACCCTATTTATGTAATGTATGCATACCCCTATTGTGTTTTTTTTTTTTTTTTTTCCTTTTTAAAAAAGCTCTACCTTTGCAAATGCATTTTTTTCACCCTTCGCAATTTTTTTCTTAATGCTTTGTTTAATTTCAGTTGTTTTTTATGGTATTATTATTATTATTTTTTTTTCTTCTAAATTAAATTGTTAAAAGATTGTTAATTTGGACCTACGAAGAAAAGATATGTCAATATGTTAAATTTTAAATTTCATGAAAAGGTTAAATGTTATGTGTCAAAAAAAAAAAAAAAGTGAACATATGTGAAGAGCATATGTGCACATATTGGTACATGCGTAGTGAATGTATGTTTGCTTATGCCGTACGTATACTAGGCGTGTACACGTCGTCCGTTTGTGCGTTTGTAAGTTTACACTTTTATACGTTTGTGCCTTTCTTCGTTTGTTCGCTTGTTCCCCTGTTCGTTTGTATGTTTATACCTTTGTGCGTGTTGCTTGCAACTAAGTGAACATTCGAGGCGTAAACGAGCGAGGCGCATCCCCACGGATAAAATGTGCCAACGTACAGGCTGCTTGGCCAAAGCACGTACATAAGCGACGAAAAAAGGTAAGAGGTGAAAGGTAAAAAGGGTGGAAGAAAAAAGCAAAGGGAAAGAGGCGTAAAATTAACTGCAGTAGTGTGTATCATATATGTATAATATTCTTTTATTTTTATATGTACACGTATTTTTTGCAATTTTGCCCTTCTTGTTTGGTTGGCAATGTTTTGCTTGCCTCTCTACGTTTTTTTTATCTGTACAGTTATAGCTTCCACGCGTTATATATGCATCGCCCTCTATGCTCACATAAAGTGAAAGAGGAAGCGAATGTGGAAGAGGCGTTACACGGGTGCATATACATGTGACATCCGCGAGGAGTGAAACTGTTACACAGAATAAAATAAATCAAAAATGTGATAAAAAAAAAAAAAAAACAGGGGGATCCAATTTCTTGCAGCATAAAGTGAAACAATCGCCTCCTACAATGTGTTATGAAATCTTGTGTAACATCTGTGAAACAAGGGCACACCCCGTAGTATAGGGTAGTACCTTCTACTCTGTACTACTGCGTACTCTATTGCGTGGCGCAACATGCCATATAAGGGCAAACACGTATACATCAACACCTCGGGACAATGCCGCCTGGTTAAGAAAATCTACACACCAAGCGAAATATAAGCTTAAGCGAACAATTCGCGGCAAACGAAAAATGCATACAGTACATCTACCTTTTACATGTGCTAGCTGGCAAAAAAAATCACACCACTGCACCACTGCCTGGGCGACAGAGAGCAAGGCTCTGTCTCAAAAAAAAAAAAAAAAAAAAAATAAAAGTTCCCCAATCAGAGAACCCGAACTGGAAAAAAAGCTGCACGGGAAACGTCAAAAACGGTGTTATCACCTTTGTGTAGTATTACAACGCGGGGACGTTTGTGAAATAAATTTATTTTTTGCCATGGGTTATTAAAAGGCACTCGTTTTCCGCGCGCAGTTTGTTTTTTCCTGCACTTTTACCTCTTCATGGTTTTGCCTTGCCACCCCGAAAACAGTTTGAAAGGGTAAAATTACGAGGTAAATATAAATGCGCACCTTTGCTTTTGTCGAGCTGGTTTACATAATAAACCACCATGTAAATGACAAACACATAAGTGTTGTGGCGCATCGAAACTGTGTATGCGAGGGGGAAACTGTTGTTCTATATCCATGTGACATACACGTGCTCAGTTTGGGCTTGTTACGTATGATTGACACGCCTACTTATCTGCAACTATACGTACACGGCGGCACCTTTATGTACGTATGTGCCTGCAGATAGCAGACGGCCCAGCTTGCCAGAAGTGTACCACTAAAGCTGTAAGAAACACTACACCGGTGTTTTACACACAATTTTTATTTTGCCACGAACAGTACATCATCTTACGAATCGTGGGTTCCTATTGGGAGTCACATCTTACGGTCAATTTTTAAAGACGTCGTTTACTCGAATGTGTGCATTTAAACGCTGTGTATATAGAATTAAGCGCGTGTAAGAAAAAAAAAAATAAAAAAATATTATGCATGTCATTTTGGAATTTAAAAAAAAAATGGCTTGCTCGAAAGAACAATCACAACTTTGTTTTGGAAATTCTTGGCCACCATTTAGGACACCTTTTTAGGCAAATCGCGGTTTGCAAAAAAAAAAAAAAAAAAGGTTTAAAATATCCAAATCGGTCTAACCTTCCTGCTATTACGAAAAAATGCATTTTCAAGTTGGCAGCTATGAGGAAGGAACCAAGCTGTTTCATTTTGAGGAGAGAAAATGAAGTACGTCGGGGGGTGAAATAAACTACGTCTGCAGAGCATTATGCACATCGTAATGGTCAAGGGTGTTTCCTTTTTTTTT